TGAAAGTCAGGGCATCTTCATTTAGCTTTCATCAGTAGGGACACCAGCAATGAATAACAAAGCATGCAAAAACCTAAGCCGATGCTGGTTTATACCATTTACTTTCTTTTCTAGGCTCTTAAAACCAGGTCTCTGTGATTTGCCATTCTGCAAAGGTCATCACCTACCCACAGTGTGTTCGGTAGAGGAGGGAGGACTTGACAATTCACATCTGCAAGTTTATATGAACAGTAAAAGCGTCCGAGTCCTCTCACCCTTCAAAGCAGTGTGCTACTGTCAAGACCCATCTCTTTGCAATCAAAACACAGCCACATATGTGTCCGCTTGGCTCACTCTGCAGGGAGCATTGCCACGGCCATCGGCCCGGGCGACTGGTCCTGCCACCAAGGATCCGCTTGTTCATGCGAGCAGCCGGGCGACGGCCACAGTCTAGTGAGGAACAGAGGCAGAAAGGAGTTCGATTGTTACCACAAAGGCAGCACGCACAAGACCTTCTGCAAGAAAACTGGGCACAGAACGGTATTAACGGAGTCATGAAATTACACCGAACAATACAGTAAATGAAGTCATCAACAACCATACAAGAATATCAAACACGGCAGCAAGCTTGCTTTGCCTATGGGAATGACTAAGGGAAATAAGTGAAGATGTGAAGACATTCCAGTACTCTGTCCATTCTACTTTATAAGCCACTTCCACTGGAAATTGTACCAGATTCCCATCTGCCAGACAGTTACTTTTCTGAAATAGTTAGCCCTTCGCTTTTGTTTCATTTTATATTCTGGATTTGTAATATGGCAGACTTACTATTTATCCTGATTATACTCAGTCTGATTCAGAGAACAAAAGAGCACCACCAGTTTCTGCAATCAGCCTCCCAAGGGATTTTAAGTGTACTTAAAGCAACATATGTCAGAAGGAAACACCTTTGACAGGCTCCTATGAGCTTTTTCTTTTTTTTTTCTGATAAGAGTAGTAAATGTTTTGATTAGTTTCCCAAATTTAGGTCATGCTTTGTGATTGATTTTCCCTGTGTAAGCTAATTCATAATTTAAGTGTTCTTTAGCAAAGCTCTCCTTTTCTGTAGAATGTGATTTCATTGAAGATGAATAATTTCTACACTTTCAAACAACTTAAACTTGCACAATCTGCTGTGCCTATAGACTTGGTCTGTGGCTTTCAACTTCAGGTTCTTCTGTCCCCTTGAGCTTCACAACTAAACAGATCACAGCTTCAGCTCCCAGGCAGATAGCCTGCTAACAACTCTGGTGGTAAAGGATATTTTCAGCAGGTTTATCAAAACCATTTTTGGAACCTGACTGCTGACAAAATTCATTTTGTGGGCGCAGGACCAGGCTACTGCAATACACAACCTCCTAGTCAAAAAATAAGAAAAGCTGATGAAACTGAATAGAGTAGGGGGAAAAAAAAACAGTGCAAAACTGGATGTTGCAGAAGTCTAGTAAAATTTCAGAATGAATCCGCACTAAACATCTGCATTTGTTAAAGTTAACACATCTTGAAAAACATCTTTGGTTTACATGCACTTCTCTCTTACCTTCTTTAGTGCAAAAGAGAGCCACTTTGCTTCTGCTTCGACACATCTGTCTAAATATTGAAACAAGAACATGGTGGAAATCTCAATTAATTGATGTAATTTTTGTTAATTTGCAAACCAGCACAGGTATTGTACTTGTGAACCAGCCGTTAAAAATTCCCCCAAACTGTAACAAGAAACACAAAGAGCTTCTTATGCCAGATGATCCATGGTTTCCAGCATCTGCCTGGAGATAATTCAAAATATTAGTTCAGCTTGACAATGCATTTCGTGAGTGGTGCTACATATTTTGCAGACTACCTTGCTCCCTGGGCACTGATCCAGCTCTGAGGTCACCTGGGATATACAGTCTGTCAAGTCTTAATTTATGGCACCTGAAAGCACAGAGAGTGCCATTCTCCTCTTCCTTACAGGTGAAGGATAGAATTTTCTTTGAAATACCTTTGATAACAGATGATCTTTCATGCCCTAAAATTTTGGGTATTTCGAAAAAGTCCAGGATGTTTGCAAAAAAACAACAAAAAAAGATCATTTCTGTTGAAAATTTTCAGATGAGAGAGGAAAGAAGTGGTTCTTTGCCAAAGGAAGGGAGATCCTTGTTAAAACAACGAGCATTGTTGCTCAACTAGCTGACTGCCTCTTATTTCCACCACTTCTTCATTCCTACTGTATGCTTTTCTGAGGCAGATGCAGAGCTAGATTCTATGATTCTAGATTAGACTGGATATTCATAGAATCATAGAATCGTTATGGTTGGAAGAGACCTCAAAGATCATCAAGTCCAACCGTGTACTCAATGCCACCATGCCCACTAAACCATGTCTCAAAGCACCACAGCTAAACTTTTTTTGAACACCTCCAGGGATGGTGAGTCCACCACCTCCCTGGGAACCTGTTCCAATGCTTAACAACTCTTAGAGTGAAGAAATTATTCCTAATATCCAACCTGAACTTCCCCTGGTGCAACCCTGAGACCGTTTCCTCTTGTCCTATCGCTCGTTACCTGGGAGAAGAGACCAAAGCCTACCTCACTACACCCTCCTTTCAGGTAGAGAGCGATCAGGTCTCCTCTCAGCCTCCTTTTCTCCAGGCTGAACAACCCCAGCTCCCTCAGCCACTCCTCATTCAGATTAGCTTTTCCTCAGGTAATTCTTTGAAGGCTGTAATCTCAGTAGGTAGGCAATATCCTTAAAATTGCAACCACCTGAAAAGAGGCTGCATTTGATTTTAAGTCGTAGATACCAATGTGGGCACAACAATGGAGTGCCAGGAAGCTCACCAGATTAGCTTGAATCTGTGATTTGACCAGACCTCTGTCCCTTCCATTGCATATGCCCCATTCATATACTGTGCAAATCAGTCTACTTTCTGTTCCTGAAAACACAGACCATAAAACTGTTTCTACAGATAGACAACCAGTTTTAGGAAAGAAAATTCTGTGCACAATTTTGAGGGGCATTTGTGCTCCATAAAAAAATACAGAATATAACTGAGACCAGCCACACTCATGTTTCACACTTGCTTCTTTATCAAATAGCCAGCTCTAAAAGAGAAAACTTTAAGCTTTTATGTGTGCATAGCCTGCACTGTGCCATTCCCTCTTACCAAAACTTTATGAAACTAGTGGTGCATTTGTTAGTTCTTGCCCAGGTTCCCAGCAGTCCAGGAGACTGACAGCTCCCGTAAACATACAACGTACTCCACAGCACAGACACTTTACGGGCTGAAGTTGATCCAGGTGAATGCACCTAGGCCACAGGGCTCAGGAGCACTTCCCAGCTCCTGGGCTTGTCTTGGCTTCACATTGGGAAGAGACTAAACACATATTGTCCCCGGCGCAATTTGGTTTATCCTAGAAAGCAAGCCAGGCACATCAGAGGTGAGGCAGGCCTGCAGGTCTCCCGTGGGATGACTGGGAGGTCAGTGTGGGTTGCATCCGATCTGCAGTGCATGCACAGCCCGTGAGAGCCATCTGGACAGGATGCCTGATGCAGGCAAAACAAAAACAGCCTCACTCTTCATGCAAGGCCGTGGCTTCTCACTTCTTGTTACCCATTTTCTGGATTCGGGGAGACTGGAACATCTGTTCCTGCGTATTACTCTCACCTCTGCAATAGGTTTATCACTAATCCTCATTACTGATGTTTTCTCTCCTTTGACTTGTACTTTGGGGAAAACTAGATCTTTTGCTGCTAGATTTTGTAACTCAGCGGCTCCAAATCCACTCCTTCACACAGTTTTGTCCGGGGTATTTAAGTTCATTGGCTCATCAGTCTTAAAGTCACGCTTTGAATGTCTCAATCATGAGATCCTGGCTTCTCATTACCAACTACCTGTTTAGTCGAGTTAATTAAAAGGAATATACCACCATCTGAAGCCAGAGAAGCTGCTAAGGAAACCTACTGTAACTGGATATAGCTTCTGCTGAAGAAGCTGTGGTCGCTCCAAATGTATAAATCCAAACTTCACGGGCTGCAGAGGATGGTAAGATGTTCCTACAGGTTGTGCTGTATAGTACTTCCTGGACTTTCTTGGTCAGCAGGGATTTAATGAAGCTGTCTGGTCCAGGTGCTTCAAGGGCATCACCTCTATGTCACCCAAATGCTGTTAGTCTAGCAGAATGGACACCTGAGGACTCACAAGTTGGACTCAAAAGAGACTACAGTTGTAGTAGACAGTAAAATCCTTATAGACTGTATCTTAACAACTCACATGAGTATGTGCTGGGATTTACACACAGATATCTTGAAAAGAAAGAGCTTACCAAAGGGAGTTTGTCATCCTCCATTAATAAGTGACTACCCACAGCAGTGAAATAAATCTCATTTACCTCTTACTTACCCATTCACTAGAAGTGCGTGTAAAGTGGATGCATTTTTATTCTTCCAGTCTGAGTGCAGATTCAGCCATTTTTGATGCTGCATTTCCTCATTCTCTATTACAATTTCTGTTTTGGATGGTCCTCTGAAACAAATGAAAGACATTCATAGACCTTCCAGTAGGTTTCTCTGTTACAATTAGGAAGGTGAAGAGACCCTAATGCCTCCTGTTTACTCCGAAGATACACAACTGAATGTTATGTCAAAGCCACAGGTGGCAGAATCATAGTTAGGGGAATGAAATCACCCCAAGAAGCCAGGCCAGCTAACACATTACTGTCACTTACGTTGTATTTTCCGACAGGAATCAGAATTGTAATCGGGAACAGCAAGCGCTTTCTGGTGACATTTACTGTTTCTACAGTTTCTTGCCTCCAAAAACACAGAAAATAGATCTTCATATATAGAAGAGGTAAAAGAAAAAATATTTTCTTACATTCCTATCTTTGGAAATCCATTAAAATTTAACAGTAAAGAGTAGTCTGGGTCTTGTTAATAATACTTGACAGTATCTCTAAGTCCAAGCTGTCTGCTTTGTGAAACAGAACAAATGACGGGTGACGATGTCAAACCTGTCCTTCTGCAGCAAATTGACAGGAATATGAAAGTACATTAGAATGGTTCACCTGGATTTATTTTCATATGTCCACTTCCTCAGTTTAGTTATTGCCACTGACGAAATTGCTGGTTTAGGAAATCTCAATTGCTAAATGGAAAAAAGAGTGTATTTTTTAAATGGCTTTACAAGTCATGCACCCTTCCAGCACAGAACCATGCCTGATTAGTCATCAATCCCTGTCAACAACAAGGACTTTCAAGGACTGCTTTCTTGAACACTGGTCAAAGGCCAAATTCTAAATCCTAGTTCATGGAAAAGAGAATGAGAAAAGTTCAGAAAAACTGTGATGTGTTCGAATACTTGCTTCTGAATCCAATCTCTCATGGCAGTCCCTAGGAATGCCAGCCATGTTATTAGTTTTTCTTTAAGACCAATTTTCAGTATTAACTATATTTCTTTTTAACTATTTACAGAAGTGCAGCATCCTTTACCCACTTGTTTGCATAAATTAACAAAGATCAAAGAATTCTGTTTTATGGTGAAGTTATCAAGTGCAACCATATGGAAATGTTTTCAACAGAGCTGGCAGAATTAACTAGGCTCTGAAGTCACGGCCCTGCATCCTGCCTGTTACATGACTTATTTTTCAGAACCTTCTCTGGGCATATTAAGCAACTATCATTCCATGATCTACTACCCAGAATGTGCAGGCAGATAATAACAAGCATTTTTAAAGACTATGTTTTTTCCTCATTTAGAGAAAGCCATTTGCTGCAAAAAAAGGATTCTTCCTCAGTGCCTGCTTATAGCAAACGCATAAAACTCTCCTCTCCATTTCCATCATTTGCTTGTTTCCCACTCTTTTTCCCACCATACACAAACTCTTTTTTCTTAAGATGACATTCTGCCTTATGGTCTTCTGTGAACAATTATGTTCACCATTTCATAACTGTGTGTAGTGATATTTTATGTAGCTGTAAAACAGTGTCTGATCTATAAAATATGTGACTCAAAAACGTGCAAAAATGTGCAAATATCATGCCATCTGATGGCTCCAAATCTATATTATCCGAAACACCAGATTATTTTGCTGCAACCTGCAGTTCTGAATTACAGCTTGTGATGCTATAATCATCATATAAGCAGATACGTACTTCTAAACCAGGGCAACAACCTACAAGACACTTAAGCCTGTTTTGGCAATAGTCCTGCTTCAGTTGGGAGATGGACTAGATGTTCTCCAGATGTCTGTTACAATGGGGATTTTATCATTCTGTTTCACTGTACAAGTACACAGTAGCAACCAGTACCTATGCTGAACAGCTTATTCTTAAAAAGAGCTAACAGTTACTAGAACAGATTTTTCACACATAAGAGCATCTTTTAACATTACAGTATAGTCTCTGAAATACCTACATCACTTAAGTAAGTTTTTTAGTCGTATCTGTAAACATAAGACATCCATAGCATGGTAACAATCACACACACCTTTTGAGTAGTAATCTTTTGACCAGATCCTTCTCCAGGCTTTTAGGATAACTTACAAATCCTGCCTGAGTCCGCAAGACTTTATAACATCTCATGCTGCTATTTGGATGGAACTATTTGAGTACTGAAATATTATTTTAAAACTCATGGGGTTCTAAGAATCTATTACTGAATAGACCACAAAAATTTAACTGTGTCATATGTCTGATACTAAATATCTGCAGTAAATCTTTATATGCAAAAGAACTATGCTAGAGCTTCTGAGCTCAAACCACTCAAACATAACACTCAGTGAATACACTTTAGGGTGCCTGTAGTCTCAGTCTATGGACTTCCCCAAGAGCACATCAAAGTGCCATACTTAAGGTAAATTTACAATAAAGGCACAACCAACAGCAATGTTTTACGATTTCCCCCCCCTCTACATTTGAAGTGATAGAAATACCAAGCTTAGTGGTAAAAGTTGAGTAAGTCTTTCACCTAGATTTTCATTAGGTCCTCTGCACTGTTTTCAAGAATGAAATGGGATTAGGATCTATGAAAAAAAATCCTTCCACGAGGCTTTCTTTCACTAAACAATTAACCAAAACAGTTAACTATCAGAAAATTCAGCGAAAAGGAATCTTATGAGGCCATCTGATCCATTCCCCTAATCCAAAATAAGATCAACTATATCTAAATTCTCTCTGACAGATTTTTCTCTGCCCTGTTTGTAAAAATCTCTAATGATGGAGAAATCTCAGCATTTCCAGGCAATATATTCCAGGATTTATTGTTAGCAATTTTTTTCTAATGCTTGTTCTTAATCTTCCTACCTGTCATTTAAGCTCATTTCATCTGTCTTATTTCCACTGGAAATGGAGAGCAGTTTATTCCTTGCCTCTTTGCAGCAGCCTTTTACATATTTGAAGGCTCCTATACTTCCCTCTCCC